TTCCTCTTAACATCAGAGCCCAAATGCAATTTCAGGGCCACCAACCCTGCTCTGAATTGTGACCTCCTGTGCTTGAACAAGCTTGCAGATTCTCTTGATATTCCTCCAGAGTTGCAACAGCTTGGTCACAGAGCCATCCTTGCCCTAGAGGTGGGATCGTTGCAGGCAACTTTTCGGCTAGTGTGCCAGCAGCCTTCTCTGGTCTGGGAAGATTAGTGAAAGTGTCATTGACGATTGATGCAGTCTTGGTAATTCCAGGGCCATGATGCCCCCCTGGAGTTCTGTTGCATCATTGTATCATCATAGAAATCTTGGTCAGATTAGCCTTGTACACACGAGGAACATGTGAGAATGACTGTAATGTGTTCAAGGTGGTGTGCGTGCTTCAACACTTGTAAATTTCCGATAATCAAACATTGTATATCGAATTGTTTCTTTTGCAACAGTCAATGCTGCCTTGACATCTTGTAATTATATATTAATATTAGTATTATTATTACGATTACGTAAAGCAAAATATTATCAATGAAAATCTTGTAATTACCCAGCAATGATCTGCTCCGTGTTTTGATTCCAATTAAAAATATTTATAAGCTAAAATAAAAATATCAATCAATACAAATAAAAAAGAGTACCTCTGGTTAGTTATTAACACGTTTTCTTTAGGAGACCCAAACCAAACCAAACAACAACACTCAAGTTTTGTCACCTTGAAAAAAAAAAAAACAATTCGTGTCTGTCCTCCCAAAAAAAAAACCAACAGGATAAATAATTAATGTGTACGCATCGATCAAATCACAAACTTCTTTTCTTTAAAAATGTCGTCAAAAAAACAAAAGAAGAAGACAAGAAAATCATACTGGTGAACTAGCTGGGTAAGTGTTTTAAGAATAAGGATGGTGGTGGTTATCGCCCGCCACTTGTCATTACTCTAGTTCTAGTTAGAAATCATTCAAATTTCACGTAATTATTATAACTGTTATTGAATTCGTTTTAATCTAGTAACTCTTCCGATACTGTTGATAATGAAACTATTACTGTTGGTATGTTTATGATATAATTTTCAATTTAATTGTTACTCTTATACAATATTTCATTGAATGAATGTCACAAACCCTATAAAAAATTTTTTTACAGAAAGTCCTACAAAATGTAAGGAACTGCGGGATGTGTAAGGAAAGTCCTACAAAATGCAAGGAAATTCGCATTTTTCCTTACATTCTGTAATTTTTTTCATGTACGGAAAAATGCAAATTTCCTTGCATTTTGTAGGACTTTCCTTACACATCCCGCAGCTCCTTACATTTTGTAGGACTTTCCGTAAAAAATTTTTTATAGGGAAATGTTACTATCTTCTTTTATTTTTACTATGATTTTAATTGTACTATTTGATGCTTCACTATCACTATCTTCAGCTTCATCTTCATCTGTAAGTAAATTATGTATTATTATTATCTTCAGATGAGCAAGTCTTATTGTTTTAATTTTTATTTAATGTAATAAAAAATCAACAGCAGCTACAACAAAGTATCAAATCTTTAACAAAAGAAACTTTGTTAAAATTGGGTCAGATTAAAGGTGTATCTGAAGAAGCAATTGATCAAATTCTAGAAAAAAGAAAAGAGATAATCCAATCATTTGAAACTTATTTAGAAAAGGTTATGGATATATTTAATGACTTTGATAAGAACCATGAGAATGTGATAAATTTTTCTATTTATTCATTTTATGTTTTCATATTTTGTCAGTTTATATTAACAAAAATTTTTGTTTTAATAAGGTTACGGAATTAGAAGTTGAACAAGTAGTTATAGTACATGATGAAGATGACAGCAGTGATGTTAGTTTGGTTTTATTGTTATTGATTTACCATTATAATTTTACTAATATAAATGTAATCTCATTTGATAGATTGTGGAAACAGATGAAGAACATAGTGAATATGAAGAAGAAATCATGGTTATATTTACTTTCTTTGGAATTTTTCCATCATTATTGTTGATTTATTAATATTTATGAATTAACATTTCAATGCTGAATTTTCTTTTGATAGCTAATTGATGATAAAGAATTTAATAATCGTATAGGTGTTTTAAACCAGTTAAAGGTAAATTTTTATTCGAATTGCACAAAGCTTATATATATATGCTGATTTATAATTTTGATGAAAGTAATTGTTTTCTGTTTAATAGAATCAAGAACTTTATCTACTTGAATATAATAATAATAGTAACATTCCGAGTTTTTTCTTTAAAAATATCAAAAATGGTTTTTGTTGCAAAAAAAATGCATTACATCCCTTATTCTCCTACAACAGATTTAAAATGGTTAAATAGAAATTGTTCAAGTAATTTTGATGACTATGTTAATTTTGTGAAAGAAGAATCATATTATAATAAATTAAATTCTGATGTTAATGATGATTATGAAGATTTAAGAAAAGATCTAAATAACTTAATGTATTATTTTTTTATTTATTCAATTTTTCATTTAAGTTAGTTCTAAATTTTATTTATTTATTTTAGAAACCTATTATGGAAGAACAATAGAATCAAAAATATTGATCCTAACATATACAATGAAGGTACTATTCAACATAATGTTTCTATGATCTTTGATACTTTGTTCAGGAAAGAAAAAACCCATATAGTTTGGTAATAATTTTTTTTCAATAATTTTTTTGAATATATTATATTTTTTATTTATTTGCATAATTGAATGTCATTTTTAATACAGGGGTGAAGAAACTAGTATAGCCTCTAAAGAGAGGAAATTATTTACTATTTTGTATGGTTTGAAACCTGATTTTCAGGTAAAACTATTCACATCAAATGATATTCAAATGAAACATCATATTTCGAATGTAGTGGTACACCTTCTGTAGAGGATGAGAAAAAATTTATAAGAGACTTTGCCGATTTGCAGCTGATACAAAAGGTTATCTTATTTCCAAAATTGTTGAGATTAACAAAGATTATTTCTATAGTAATATAAAAAATATTTTAGATGTTCCAATAATATGTTTTCAACTATATAGTAAGTAATTATTTTCTCTTTTTATTATATATTGATAATGACAAGTAAGTGTTTTCACCACTAATAATTTTGTCTTATATTATTTATTTGAACAGATTTTGAATTATATATATATATGTTAAGGTTTCTGGTCCAAACTGTTTTCTCAACATTTTTTATAAGCATGAGCATTAAAAAACTATATGAATCAACTTGTTTTAACTTAAACAGCTTTAAAATAATTTCGCCCAATTTCAGCTAATAACAAAAAGTAGTTTGGGCTTATAAAAAAATAATTTTTGCCCAAAGTATTTGGGCAATTTCGGCTATTAATAGATGCAGTTTCGACCAGAAACCTTAATATATGTACCAGCAAATTAACACTATAGAAGTTGATGATTTACTTATTCCAATTGGTGAATTTGTAGAAGTTAAGAAGATCTCATTGTCTACTGTAGAACCATCAAATAATGAACAATATCTAAATGATCTAATAGATACATTATTGAAAGCAAGGAATGTTTTATTAGAAATAAACTATCAGTTTGAAAAACACATTACACTTGCTTCAACCATTGTATGTACTCCATGTAGGATTAACAAAACAATAAGATGTTACAACAATTTTTCTCTGCCCCACCAAATTCTAAATCTGAAGAAACATGTAGTACCAAATCTGCCCTTTGACCCATTTTTGATCTAGCCAATTGTTTTATACCAGGAACTGTACGACCTAAATTTTTTCTTAATACAGATGCTAAACTAGAAGATTCTCCACAAACTTGCTCCATATTTTCGATATTTGCAAAACATTGGTCCAAGATAGGCCCCTACAAATCAGGGTTGGCAAATTGACTGGTCCATTGAGAACAGATGGATTTTGGACTGGTCCATTGCCATTAATAAAAACTAAATATGGTTAAAGTGTTACACTAATGGACCCAATGGACCACCAATGGACCACCAATGGACCACCAATGGACCATCAATGGACCATCAATGGACCACACATTTGCCAACCCTGCCACAAATGGATATTATACCATTGTTCTAAATGGTCACTCTTTAAAGATCCAGATTCATATTCCCTAATGATAGCATGCATTGCAAAATTTACCCAATCTATGTCATGATGAAGTTCACGAACATAGTTTTCTGATATTGATTCATTATCATTTTTCAATGAGTGTCTAAGTTCATGTATTTTGTTATCAGAAAATTTCATAATATAATTAATGAGATCTTCTGGAATCTCTGGAAGCTCTCTTTTTTTGTAATCACGAATTTCTTCAAGCTCTTCTTTTGTAAATATTTTATCATTAATATAAGAATTATCATCTGGATCTAAAATAAAACTATGACACATATGTTCAGAAGTACATTTTAAACCATATTCATATAGCGAATCTTCTACAAATTTTCTGGTGGATAGTTTCCACTTGGATGTATTTTTCATTTTTCTGAAGGTACTTGTAAAAGTGCTTAACCTAGTGGTGATAGTAATAATGTAGAAGAAGCAATAACAATTATAATAATTAATTATAATCATTACCATTGTAACTAGAATGGAGTATTTCACGCAACTACTGTGCACAGGGAGATCCCTCTCACAACTTTTACTGGCAAGCTGCAATAATTGCAACTACCACATTCTTTTTAATAACTAATAAATAAAACTTACCAATCGATATCTTTACCTTCATTTTCTTTGTTTCTTTTTTTTGTATTCGTTTTATTCATTTTTTTTTGAGAGAAAAGAAGTATATATATAGAATGAGAAACAATCACAACCACCACTACTGTTCTTTAATAATTAACTAGAATGACAATGAGTTGCAATAACCCACCATCCTTAAAACACTTACCCTTGAATTATTTTGCCATTATAATTATTCGCTTTTACTCTTTTTCTTTGTTGTTTTTGTGGACATTTTTTTTTTAAGGAGAAAAAAAAAAAGTTTATTTGATTGACATGTACACATCAATTATTTATCCTATTGGTTTTTTTTTTGGTAGGACAGATGTGAATTTTTTTTTGGAAAAACAAAAAACAATTTATTTTGACAGAGTTCAGGATGACAAAATACAAAATGTGTTAATAACTAACCAGAGGTACTTTTTTTTAATAATGTGGTATCTTTTATTTTATATAAATATTTTAATTGGAATCAAAATGCAGAGTGGATCATTGCTGGGTAATTATAAGATCCTTGTCAAGATGATAATGAATGAATGATTGGTATTTTGCTTTTCGTAATCAATAATATTAATTATATTATTACATTATTATAATCACAAGATGTCAAGGCTAAGGTTTCTGGTCGAAACTGCTTCTATTAGTAGCCGAAATTGCCCAAATACTTTGGGCAAAAATTTTTTTATAAGCCCAAACTACTTTTTGTTAATAGCTGAAATTGGGCAAAATTATTTTAAAGTTGTTTAAGTTAAAACAAGTTGATTCATATAGTTTTTTAATGTTCATGCTTATAGAAAATGTTGAGAAGCCCAAATTGCCCAAACTAGTTTGGGCTTTGAGAAAACAGTTTGGACCAGAAACCTTAGTCAAGGCAGCATGATTGAAACAATTCAAATATGCAACATTTGATTATCAAAAATTGGCAGACGTTGAAGCACACACGCTACCTTGAACACTTTACAGTCATTCTCACATGTGCATAGGGCTAATCTGACTGAGTCACCCTCAATGATACAATGATGCAACCGAATTCCAGGGGGAGTTTGGCCCTGGAGTTTATCAAGACTGTATCAATCATCAATGACACTTTCACTAATCTTCCCAGACCAGAGAAGGCTGCTGGCATGCTGGTCAAAAAGTTGCCTGCAATGATTCCACCTCTACAGCAAGGATGGCTCTGTGTCCAAGTCGCAACTCTGCAGATGAATTGTAATATTAGGTGCACATAAACATCCAGATCCATCAAAGCAACAAGAATCTGCAGCTCATTTCAAGCACAGGAGGTCACAATTCAGAGCAGGGTTTGTGGCCCTGAAATTGCATTGGACTCTGATGTTAAGAGGAAAGTTGTAAAATAAATGGTTCGGATTTTTTTTGGTATGTTATGTATAAATTAATCATTTTCATATTCTCTGTTTTTTTGTGATTTTTTATTTGATCAACTGAATTTGTTATTTAAATGGGGGTAGAGTTGTTGGTGAGTAGGTGTGCCACTGACAAGACAGCAACCCAGGCCTCAAAACTCGGAATTCAGGGAAAATCCAAAACTGCAACAACCCAGGTTGCAACCTCCCAAGTTGCAGACACCAACTTTATTTGCAGCCAATCCAAGGATCTACAACAAGGGTTAACCTTACTATTTGAGACATTGATCCTAAGGTCAAACCTCTTACTGGTAAACCATCACCCAATCTACTAATTAAAAATTTGGGTTACACATAACCACCAAACCACCAGACACCCCTGTTAAAAGGTTGAACCTCATGTTTTGAGAATGTAGATCCTTGGATTGAGTGTACATTTGTGATGAATGACTAAATTTTGATCCCTGAAATTCTGGTAATACCAATGTTCACTTTGTGCCTGGATTTGTTGCAGCATGCCCTGTATTATTATAATGAGTGAGATATGCTGATATGATAAATACTTTTCTGCTACTAATTCATTCTGATGATTAGTGATAACAATTTCTTGAGCTGTTGTGATAATTGTTTGAGATAAATTTAGATAATGATAAATTTGTTATTTTTAGACAACATTTTTAATAAAATTTTTGGAACCTATTAAATTTATTGTGTGTAATAATAATAAAATGGGATTCTAATAAAGTTATCCAGTGTACAATTCCTCATTTTTTTATTAAGCAGACAGGATCTAATATTTTCACCAATTATAATCTATATGTTATAAATTAAATTGTAAAGAAAGGACTTGGATGTGAGGTAATTCGCCTACCTATGACCAATCAGTACCATGCTTTTAAGGAAAGGATCGCTGTAAAGTGATTCTGCCCTCTTAAATATTACAGCACCCTCCATATACGTGATGCAAAAAAAAAATTTTTTATACATTCAATCAATTAAATCAATTAGAACCCATGAATAACAATATTAGGTTTCATATAATGTCACATTCACACACACATTTATGTTAAAGCTTGTTTTGTGCAATATTTAACGACGTTATGACGTAGCAACTTAGTATTAACGAAAGAATATGACACATTTAACTTAGTGTGATGCATTTAACTTTAAAAAGGGAGATTTTCGATTATTTTTCTCATAGAATTTGTTTAAAAAAGGAATTTTTCGAAAAAAAAGGAAATTTCAAGTGTTACAAAAATGATTGCATTGTGTATATAGAGTAGTTAACGTTAACGTTAACGTTAATGTCAACGTCGATGTTAGCATTAATGTTGACGTTAACGTTAAAGTTAAGTTAAGTGCTGCCAAATTTTTTTTTTAACAGATGAAAGTTCTATTTATAATAAAAATTGATAAGAGTGAATTGATTGGTTTTTGATATTTATTGTAGATCCCTTCCG